AATAAAGTTCCGTACTTTCACTTGAACGGAGAATTTGACTTCTTTGTTCTGTCCATATGTCTTTAATGATTTCTGCTGTACAATAGCAGGTACTTAGATAAGATAAGTGCTAGAGCTTGGGTATGAACTGAATTCGGTTGAGATTTGATAGCATGTCATGAATAAGTCAAAGACAAAACAATGAGAAGAACTCGTTGCAAAAACGCTCACTATTCGGGCATGGACGCTCAAGCATCTTTTTCAGCAACATCACCACTCGCTGGCTGTGCAATGGGCGCTTTAGCTGTGAGATCACCGCTTGAGCGATGGTGTTATCCGGCTGAAACACTGGTTGTGATTTGACAGTTTTTAAATTATAAATCTACCTTAAATACTCCATCATATGTTAGGCTTGTAATATTACGACTTCAATATATATTAGGATTTGATTGTGTTTTACATATTGGAAGTTAATGTTGGTTTATAACGACTTCACATTTTGTAATCATCTTTTGATATAGTGAATTTTCTCCTCCTCTACCTGTAGTTCTTTCCCGTCTTGGGTTTTTACATAAAACTTGTGTTCTTATTCTTATTTTTCATATTGCCAATTCTTGTTTTTCATAACAATAAGAAAATCAAACTTACTACAACCTGAACAGCTCCTAGACTGATCTTTTGGTTGGTTAAACATGGGAGTTTGTCTGAACTACCCCAGCAAAATAGCTGGAAGTGAAAACTTAAAATGAGTGGTATAATTGAATTGGGGGGTTCACGGACTCTGCTTATACAGTCAGTCAGTAAGAATTGGTATTGAAGTCTGGATATTCTGTATGAGTCCAAGTTAATCAATTTATTTATTTATTGAACAGCGGTTTAGAAAACTTTGTGGATATTGATGTGCCTAATTTTCCTGAGTCTCAAGACTGCGATAAACTTAAATTTTTTTGACCAACCAATACGAAATAGAAGGCTGCTTAGGTGACTTGATGACCGTTGTGCCAACTCACATGGGAAGGAAAAAAGAATTTTATTATTTGTACACTAATTTTTGACATGTTGTTTGACACTTATATTGTTTCAAGTGTCCATCAAATGGAAAAACTGTTTGAAATTTAAACTGCCCAATAAAATAATGTCACGTGGCAAAGTATAAATTAAAGTGTATCTCATAGTGTACATGTAGCAAAGTTCAAGAAAAAATATAGAAAGAATTTAAGTTTCGATTACAAAGACGGGCTAAAAAAAATTTTGATTGTAGGTACCACCTTCGCTTTAGAAAAACCTTTTGATAATATCACCATTTAAATATACACTTATAATGGTTCATTGAATTCAGAACAAAAAAATAAGGCTTTGTTTGACAATTATTCTACCATATTCTACCATATTTTTTCTATCGTACTCATTTTCAATCACACATTTTTTATTAAAATAATATTACACTTAAATAAAAAAAAATATTTTTTTTAACCGCACATTCTTCGTCAGTCACTATTTCATAATATATTATTCACAAATAATGGCATTCAAACACCCCGCTTCTTATCGAATTATATTGTTTGTGCTTTGTTTATCATTGGTTCAATATTTTAATCATTATTGTGTGCGTTGTAAAAAAAATATTTCAAAATTGTGCCTCCACCCCAATAAAAAATATATATATATTCCCCCGCCACTAAACCATAAGCATCTTCCACGTATCGAAAAAAATGATGGTATTAAAAGTTAATTCTGATTGTCTAGGTACTTCAATGTATGTAAATTCTGATTGTCTAGGTACCACCTTCACTTTAGAAAGATTAATTCAAAGAATAAAAATAATAATTATAAAAATCGATAATAGGTTAGTTCATAAGATTATAACCGACAATGGGCATCTCACGAACACTCCACCATCTGTTTGCAAGAACTAAATCTCAATCCAAATCACAGTTTTCGATTTTTTATCAATCAATTTTTATTTTTATTTTTTTGAAAAATAATTTTTCTAACGTCGTGGTGGTGCCATTGGTCGCGAACTGATTTCATTTGTGGAGGTGGTTTTTTCTCACAAGTGGGGGAGGGTGCGTGGGTGATCGGTGATGATCATGAAATGTGTACTTTTTTTCATAATTTTTTTTTTTATATGTACATGTTAATATATATTTAATTATTTTAAATGAAATTTATTATTTGTACTTTTAAAATGTGATGGATTCCCTTTGCAATATTTTCTTATTTTTTGTTTATTTAAAGAGAATGTAAATTCCGTTATCTAATGAACAAAATGGAAGGACATAATTGAAAATTTAGGGACAAACTTCGTTAAAAAGAATTAAGAATAAATATATTAAATTTCGCGAAAGTTGAAGACGAAGAAGTTCAAACTTTCCTTAAATTTATTTTTCTATCCTTAGTTCTGAAATTGCATCAACCCAATACTTGGGGGTATATCATGTTTTTAACTTTATTTCACAATGCAAGTTGTATCTTGGAAACATTTTTCCCTATCCCTGTACTTCAACTGAAATGACTACACCAAAGTAATATACATTTAACAAGTTTATTTTTTGCCTCCCGAGACATAGTGTCAAGGACCGCAGCTTTACTTAGCCCCTTGACACTATCGCAGCCGCAGTTTGCCCAACTTCGGCCGCATATTGTAAATATTACTTCAAGTTTGAGTTGTAATTTTCGTTTCATTGTAATAGTTATTTTAATTGTAAAATAGCTCTGATATTGGTAAAAGATTAGTATGATTCCTCGTCTTTTAAACGTCTACTCCCGTCACTTGGATTTTTGTTCAGAATGCTATTATAGGGGGTATTAGTCATTCAAAAATCTTTCAAGTTCACTGGTGTCCGCCCCCTGCATCAGCATTTGTAATTTTCTGCTTTCATCAATTGTAATGTTCAGTTTTCAGCAATCAATGTTCAATTTACTTTCAATGTATTCAAATTCTCAATTGTAAGCTTTCTACAAAATTGCAATCAAATTTTCTTTCGTCCCGACGCGATCGAGAAAAGGCAGAAGGTAGTCTAGCGGAGCAGACTACTGCCGCACGGTGTCCCTTTCTGTGCCAAGAAGAAAGGCACCCCGTGAAA